AGCGTTAAGATCCCGAGCCAAGCTTCTGTGTAGGTTGCTCCTTCTGTTCCTTCTCCTCCTCATATGGTCGCAATTTCAAAGAAAAATTACTGTGACTTTGTAGACAAAAAGAAATACAGGCATTTATGCTCACCAATACCATCTTCAGAGTCATGTTTTTGTCTATCAGACGTCGATTGAAGCGCTTGTCTTCCTAGAGTTGCAAAACCTTCCCATCTTAGGATTCAGAAGACCAGTTGGTAAGCATGCGTAGCCTTCGATCACATTTTCCTCGGGTCAATTGGAACATGTGAGCAATAGTTTTCCTTTACTGCGAGTGAGGTTTGCGAATAGGAAGGGAAGGAGACAGTGGATTAGGCGACTGTGAGAGTTAGGTGGAACCGTTTCAGGGGGAAGGGGTGAGAGAGGGCTCAGAGAAGTGTATGCCTTTAAGCGGTTGTTGGCCATGCTAAGTGCTGAGCGTAGAGGAGATTCTTCTGTGCACACAAGTCTGGTTTCCTCAACCTGATGGTAGTCGCTTCTGCTGTTCCTAGCAGACGCTGACCCTGTGATGTGGGGAGTAGTTTGGTGGAACCTTATAAATCACGTGAAATGCCTCGTTGGGATCCACAAGACGCTCTGTCTGTGTGCGTGTGAGAAAGGCGCTGTTTAGGCGTTAACTTCGCCATTCCTCAACCCTTTTTGCCTTTTCTCAACTTTGTGAACCGTCATACGACCCTGGAACGTTAAATCTCGACAGCCTTTTGTGAAGCCTTTTTTATGAGGTCCCTGCTTAATATATGAACTTCGGTTAAAGTTCAGACCTAGCCTCGGAAGTTTAGTGAGTGTAAGCTGCACTGATGCCTTTCTCTCTCTCATTGTGCTCATGTTAGATTCCTGGCCGCCCTCACAGAAGTCTGGTACATGTGGGGGAGACCAGGCTGCGTGTGGCACGCGTAGACGAGCAGTTCAGTTTGGCCAGCCATTGCAGCCGCGCCCTTCTCCAGTCTACCTGATACTGTTTTGCCATCGG